CAGGGTCCAGGTTGCACAAACTTTGCGTTTTATAGATATACTGGCCGGCGTACCCGGCCTTGCCCGGCTACCGCTAGCTAGCGTATGATGTAAAAATCCACGCTAGGTTGGTATTCCTTTTGCAAATAAGCTGTTATGTATGATGCATCACACTGTGAACAATGAAATAAATCAAATCTTAGTCAAGTTTATTGAGGTCCGCTTGCATTAAGACCATATACTTGTGTACACCAAGATGCAAGAAAAAAACTCTTATGGTCGATAACAATTGCAGTTGTTTGATTCTTTATTACCTTCAAAGACAGTTGCACAAACTCTTAAAATTATTTGGATGAATCTAAGATCAAGAGCGAGCGCTTTCCTTACCTTCATGTCTTATCAGCATTCAAAGTAGAGCATTCGGATAAACGACGTTTTTGGTTTTTCCTCCTGGTGCGTACACGTATAAATTGTTGGGAGCTCCAACTCTTGAGCAGGCCACATAAAGCTGACCGTGCGAAAAACACGGACGTTCTAGATCAATGCCTGCAACCCTCAACGACTGCCCTTGTGCTTTGTTTATAGTCATTGCAAAAGCTAGTCTTACTGGAAATTGCAATCTTTTAAAATCGAAGGGCAAGTTGTTAGAGATTAAGGGTATGCGAGGTATGAGAGCATCTTCTCCCTTGAACGTGCCGTTCATGATAGTCGCCTCAATGACATGTGCCATCAATTTTTTCACGCAAAGTCGTGTGCCATTGCATAATTTTGGCGGAGAGATGTTGCGCATTAGTATATTGGGGGACCCAACTTTCAACACCAACTCATGCGCGGGAAAACCCGGCGGCTCTAGGGAATTCAGAAATTCCACTGGATAGTTTACTGCTTGGTCCTGATCAAGCACATCGTCTATTGATATGTAGGTGGAAGCTAAGCCGGGCAGATGGTCCTGAATACGGAGGTTAACAGCATCCACGCAATTGTTCTTAGGTGCCAAAATGGCTCGCTCACAAAGCCATGTATGATCCGTAAAATTTGCATGGATCTCTGGAAATACTTTTTCTATGAGCTCATCACTTGACTTCACTAAGTTGCAGAATCCCGCAGGAAAGTTCATCAAGTCGGTTTGAGGATCAGTTGCAAGCTTGCCGTCTCCGAGATTTAAAAGCTGTTGAGCGAAATTTCCTGCGGTGGAATCACCTAATAAGTGTACTCGCATATTTGTTGTCAACGTAAGCGTTTGCACGTGTCGCCAAAGCACAGAAGACTTCAAGCAAGCTTCTAATTCATCTGCAGCTGTTCCCCTTGGGATGATAGGCAACGTCTGGCGAAAATCTCCAGCCAAAAGCACTGTTAATCCTCCCATGAGTTGATTGTTCTCTCTTAAATCTTGCAGTGTTCGATCCAACGCTTCGATAGACTTTTTGTGAGCCATTGTGCATTCATCCTATACGATAATCTTGCATGCTTGTAGTACATGTGCTTTGCTAGAGCCTCTGCTTATGTTGCAGATGGGATTATCTGACAGCGTCAAGTCCAATGGAAGTTTTAGGGCTGAATGGGCTGTTCGACCACCCTGCAACAATGTAGAGGCTA